ATACGACCAGTACATACAGTCCACAACAATAGTATCGCCCACCAGAGTAGATACACGAACAGATGAAATAAGAGACTCACAAGGTGTATCTAAATAACGAGAAAAATATGATGACACATATGAAAAAGTGGAACCGGGAACAAATAACACAGAGGCATCTCTGCGGTAGACTGAGACAATACCTGTAATCACCACATCTGAAGCAAGCCCATTCCTCCAAATCATGTGGACCCATATGCAAGAAGCTTTGACCCTTATAAAAGATGTGAATACCATTCCAATGCCCAAGGGCACAATATTAAAAGTTGTCGGGATTTGAAAAGAGAAATAGAAAAGATGGTTCAGGAAAAACTGATTGTAATCCAAGACAGTGACACCCAGAATATCACGCAGAATCCTTTACCTGCATACGATGATGCACACTTTGTGGGGATGATGCATGGTGACATGGAGAATGAGAAACCTCTCGGGAACTTGTCGACTGAAATTGGAGAAGGCCATGGTGATTCTGATGAGCAAATTTGTGGCTAAATATCAAGCTTAGCAATTGAAAAGTCGTTCCCCCCTCACTAGGAAGGAATCTTGGTAGCTTGTTTTGATGTTTTTTCTATTATCTGCATTATTTCAGGGTTGTGATCCAGATTTTATTCGTTTCATTGAGTCGAACCCTTCTATCCCTCTATTTTGTTCGTGTGAGTCTTGTCTGCATGTTTTGTTGCTATTTTCATTAGCCGGGTTATTTTAGGGTTGTAACTCGGAATTTAGGTTGTCTGTCTTGTTGTGTACTCAATAAAATAGAGTTTTTACTTTTGTGTCATTCCATGCTCAGTTCTTTTCCTACTAGTTTTAGTGATATGACATGCATGCAAAAATTTTGGCTAGATCTTAGAAAATTAATTTAAGCTTGAATTGGATAACTGAGAACAAGACATGTTTGAGGATGAATAAAGAGTTGAAATACTTTGGAATTAAGATCGAGTAAATTCACCTTCAAATCATTGTGAAGATCGGGCTTGAAGATATTGAATTAATTGAATCTTGGTCGAAAGTTTGACATTAATGGATGGAAAGTGTCTTTCGACCACGACACACCAAGAAGATAGGCATGTTCATCAATGCTGTGATCGCAAAAGGATACTATGTTTGGCGTTATCGAGGCTAGGAGGCCCTTTTTCTGCTATCCAAATATTTTATATCCTTTGCTACCCCTTTGATCCTGTATTATTTCTTTGACAGCCCTCTTTTGGAATCAAGTTTAGAGTCAAGAGTAAAAAAATAAAAAAAGAAAAAAAGAAAAAGAAAAGGAAAAAAAGTTCATGTCCCAAGAGTAAAAAATGGGAAAATTCTTAAAAAGTTCAAATTAAAAAAAGAGAGAAGAAAAGAACGGTCGAAAGTCCATGCCCTCAAAAGATAGAAGCTAGGGCAAACAAAAAGAAAAAAAAAAGAAAAAAAAGAAGAAAAAGAAAAGGAAAAAAAGGACAGAGGAATAGAAAGAAAAATTATAGTTAGGTCAAATGTTTGAACTACGTTAGACCTGATTCCTTTAAAAAAAGAATACGTAGGCAGCCTCACAGTTCGATCCAACCAAATAAGAATTCAAATAAAAAAAAAGAAAAAAAAGGGAGAAAAGCAACAAAAAAAAAGAGAAATCCCAAAAAAAATCCCCAATAGCTAAAACTAGGATAGAGATTTTATTTCACTTTTGAAAGAGTCGATTTCAAGAGTTGTAAGTCCACAACCCCCTTTATTTTGAGTCTATTTTAAGTCTTCATGACGTCTTTTTTTCCCAACCCTATCCAAAATCCTTCCAAATAAAGACCTCCTGATATGCCTTCAAGAATGCCAAGAGAAGCATGCAATGAGCAATAGTTGTCACGCGACATAGAACACTGTTAGGTTACTCACACAAGAAGGCAAAAGAAAAGAAAAACAAAAAAAATGAGAGAGTCTTGCTAGTGAAAACCCTCACGGGCACTATAAGGTGACGGTAAGTAGAGATGAACAAATGAGAGAGATTTATTGGTGAAAACCCCTCGGGGCACCACTAGTCGAAAGTGAGTCGTGAAGATGATGCAAAGGATTGGCACGCACAAGCCTGACTTCAAAGGTCATAAGAATGGCGAAAGGGAAGATTGGATTAGTTTGATAGATCAGGCCGTTGAGTCCAAAATGCATGTCATGACCATTAAGGCTAGTTATTGAAAAAAGAGAAAAGAAAAAAAAGAGAAAAGGAAAAAAACTCTTCCTTCTGTCCTTCCGACAGGGGCATTTCTTGTTAATACTTGTTTCTTTGCATCATTGCGTCCTTCACTCCGAGTCAATCCTTGTCAAAACAAGCAAGAAAAGATTTCAAAATCTGCTACCAGTTTTTCAGTTGCACAAAATAAATTTGGCCAGCGCACTCAGTTGTTACTTTCAACATGCCTTTAGGATTCAAGCAAACGCTCCCCCCCAAAAAAACTATTGTCAGCCTACTTGGCGCAAGCAAAGATAACTTGTGATTCTCTCTGACAGACAAATTGCTCAAAAAGTAGGAAGTCATTTAAGTTATCAAAAAAAGTCACCTGAGCAGAGATCTCCAGTTGGGATAAGGTTGATTGAGCCTCAAACACAAATGGTACTGAGTGCGACACAATCAGAGTTGGTGCAGAATAAAAGTCTCTTGAGACCGACTCAAGCTGATCGAGCAAAAGCCAAGATGCTCAAGACTTAAGGCCACAAACCGACCACCACTTTTAAAACTGACAAAATTTTCTTTGTTTGAACAGGAACAAAGCAGGGCAAGGAAAGTGGTTTAAAAAAAAAAGGGAAAATGAAAATAAGAGAAGAGCCGACAAAGGGAAGTTTCTCAAATCTTTGCCTCTTTCTATCTTGCTCGTGTGCATACAATTTTGCCATTTGCTTGTCACATTTTGCCTTTTGGGATAAAAGTCCTAGTCTGATGAATTTTTCTCCCAATATAAATCTTAGTCTGATGAATTTTTCTCCCAATATAAATCTTAGTCTGATGAATTTTCTCCTGGGATCGAAATCTTAGTCTGATGAATCTTTCTCTTAAGATAGAAGACCTAGTCTAATAAACTTTCTCCTAGGATAAAAATCTTAGTCTGATGAATTTTCTTCTAAGATAGAAAACCTAGTCTGATAAACTTTCTCCTAGGATAAAAATTTAGTCCGATGAATTTTCTCCGAGGATAATAATTCAAAAAAAATAATAAGAAAGAAAAGGAAGTCTTGATTTGAAAAATAGGGTCAATTTTAGTTTTCTTAAGTTATCAATCTTTAGTTGTCTTGAAATCAGGACCTCCTGGATAATAGGATTTAATTTTAAAGTTTTTCAGGACCCTCCTGGATAATGGGATGTAGTTTTAAGTTTTCGGGACCCTCGTAGACAATGAGATTTAGCGTAAGTTTTACCTTTAAGAAATAGAATTTAGCTTTCAAATTTTCACTCTTAAGATGAGATTTAATTTTAGTTTTCAGGACCCTCCTGGATAATGGGATTTAGCTTTTAAATTCATAGAACTCTTTTGGATAACAAGATTCGATTAACACTCATAGATGTTTCCAGTACCAAACTGGGACAGAAAAGTTTCTTTTGTTTTGTCTGTTTTGTTGTATTAGCAGGCGCCCACCTGGAGAACAAGGGAATTCGTTTCGAAATTATTTCAAGTTTCAAGTCAGTAGCAGGTGCCCACCTAGAGAACAAGGAAAGTTATTTCAGAATTCAATTCAAGTTAGAAGTAGCAGAAGCTCGCAGCAAGAATGCGAGTCAACAATCCGAGATGACCAACAAAAGTAGTCTCAATCCAAAAAAAAAAAGAAAAAAAAAAAAGAAAAAAATGTAAATCCAAAATGCAGAAGCAGAAAAAAATGTGAACTGCTTAAGACGTGGTTGAGGTCATGAGTGCTACATGTCCGATCTAGATCCAAAACGTGAAGAAGAATGAACTAGCACCTACAGCTAGCAAGCGCCAAGGTTCAAGTCTAAAGTCCGCATGAAGAACCATTCAAGACTCAAGATCAAGCTTCAGAAGACTCATAGATAGGAATCTTGTAACTCGTAGCTGATAGGCTTAGTTAGTCTTTTCAATTTTGATGTAATAACAGGACCGCAGACCGGAACCTCGGCGGAACGGTATCTCACTCGACTCTCTCTTCCTCTCCACACACTCCATCACCTCATTCACTTCTAAACTACACATGGCCTGATTCCTTTATAGCCAAGGATATGTAGGCAGCTCAGATACCAGAGCTCGGTCACATTCTCTTTTATTTTAGTTTTTGGTCTCTCTAATTAAGGGTCAGGTCAAAAAACATGTCCCGTCATTTTTTGTCTGAAAACTCTTCGTGTTTCCATTCAAAGAGGGGCAGTTGTAGACATGTAATTTTTTACTCTTCCTAGAAATTTATACCATTTCAGTGCTTAAATATTTCTTTTAGTTCTAATATTGTTAATTTGCCTATTTTGACCTTTCAGCTTTATTTTATCTTAAAATGAAAACTATAAAAAAAATATTATTTTAGCTTATTGGTACTTTGTCTATTTAGTTTTATTTTATTTTTATAAAATATAAGAAAAAAAAATTCAAAAAAAATATATTTACTTAGTTTAATTTTAAAGTTGTAGGTTGTAGTATATATTGAGTAGTATTTAAATTTCATTAATATAGTAACTTTATGATTCCTCCTAATATTGTATTAGCTTAACTATACATGTATCTTATAAAGATATTTTTTTAATTCATCTTCATAATAAAAGAAACAATTGAAGAAAAAGGAAAGATAACAGAAAAGCAAAATAAAAAAGCAAAGGGAAAATATATCAAGAAAAGAAGGAAGAAACGTGGACTTTTTTTTTTAATTTTGTCATGATTTCTCACAGACAAATTCTTGGAGATCTCATTTTTTATATTGTGGGGACCCTACACTTTTCTAAAAATCCTAACTTCTTTTCCAAGCACGATACACACTACATTTTGAAGGAGAACCATCAGATTTTTGGAAGCCAAAAATAAAAACCCTAATATAAAAGATCTCTCACTCTTATTCTAAATAGGAGCAGCGGCAGAACCCCCATCCCCTCCCCTGAACCAAAAATCTTAACGTCGCAGCACACATTAACACACAACCGCCACTTATCTACTTCTTCCTCCAAAAACACTACCATTTTTAGCTCCAAAATTACCCTTTAAACCACCTTGAATCAACCCAAAACGTCACCTAAGAACCCTCCCAAAAGCAGCTCCAAACAGCCCCCTTTTCATTATATAACAGAAGCGTTGGGAGTTGAGTCGAGGTCGTCGTACACGATTCTGCTTGAGATCTAGGTGAGGTTTTTCTGTTCGAGCTCCGGTTTCGGTTTTTGAGCAGTTTTCAGAACAATCATTCATTTGCTTTGTGAACCAAGTGAAACTACATATATTGAAAGTTGCGGTTGTTTGAGGTCTAATTCTAACCCTATGCATTCTTTGGTTTGCAGTTTATTTTGTTATAGATGCTGGGAGAGTATTTGTTCGATTTTCTGTTGTAATAGATGCTGGGAGAGTATTTGTTCGATTTTCTGTTTTCTTCTTTGCTTTTCGAAATAAAGTTGCATCAGCATGATCTTTAACTTTGAAATAGGCTCCTTCTTCGTTTGAGCTAACGAAAGAGTAGTGCCCTTTTCAGATTGTTTTAGGTAATTCTTTGTTGCTACTTTCTATGTATTTTAAGATTTGGACAATTTTTTAAGACCTCTCTGTTCATAGATTTCAATACTATTTTGATATGGTTTTTGAAGAATTACTAATTAATTATAGTAAAGCTGTTATTTTTTTAGATCCTTATGGTTTATTACTTTGTTGGTGAATTTCGTGTTATAAAGGTTTGCCTTTGAAAAAACTGCAAAAAAGTTATTAGTTGAAATTTGATGTTGTTTCTAAGTTCGGTGCCGTAATATTATGGCATCAGCGAACGATTCTGTTTTTTGGCAATAAGAAGATTGCATTCCCTAGTCTAGTGTGAGGATGGAAGAAACAATATTTATCCTCCTTCATAGTTGTTAATATAAAGTGTAAGGCTTTACGTCTCCTATGCAAAATCATAGGCCTATGTGGAGATTGCAGTCTATAGCCTGAACAATATTCTCACAAGCAAAGATTCTCCTTTCTTGTTCTTTTGCTTGTTACGGGGAAAAGAAACCCATATAATATACCTCAAACTTTTAGTTTCCATATAATCTCAAAATTTAGGAAAATAAATAATTCTTGAATGTCGTAGCTTGCTTTAGGCGCAATTAATAAACCATCGTGATTATGGGTACGGTTCCCGTGACATATGCCTAATTTTCCAAATTCGGTTATGCATTTCATGTGACCCGATCATAACAACTTTTAATAATATTAAAATAAACATGTCGCGAATCGTGGGTGCATTTCATGTAGCGTGGTTTGCGATGTGTTCCAAAATGGCAAGTGTACGACAATCTTAACTTGTTCAAGAAATAATTTCAAAAATTCTAAAAGCAGTTAAAATAATTAAAAAGCGGTTATAAAGCTAAAAATGCACAATAGGTTTAAAACATGTAGTAAATCAGATAATTGGCCAATTATTAATAGTTTAAGCGACCGTGCTCGAACCACGGAATCAGGGAATGCCTAACACCTTCTTGCGGGTTAACAGAATTCCTTATCTAAAATTTCTGGTTTAAAAGTAACCTCGAATTGGGATTTTTTAAAAGTAAACCGGTGATTTGGGACACCCTAAATATTCCAAGTGGCGACTCTGAAATTTAATAAAATAATCTCATTTCGATTATTGTCACTTTAATTGGAAAAACTCCCTTATATACCCTTCAGGTAGAAAAAGGAGGTGTGACAGTCGAGGGCTGACCCCACTACTGAGACGGACCCTCAAGAAGATGAGGACACTACCTCCTTATATGCTCAAACTCTCCACACTCATAACAACTCCCCTGTACTAGAGACAGGGACTAAAAGGAACCCCTTGCACCGGAATGACCAATAGAAGGACCTGGCATGGAAGAACCCTGAACTGATGGAGTACGGGACGAACTCTGGGCTGGAAGGGCACTAAGTGATGAATGGCCCTAATAAGAACTGTGAGAACCATGGCCGAATGATGCCCCACGATAACTTGGGCGAGCTGACTGAGTCTGCTTGAATGGACGGCCACTGTCGTGCTGAAACTGACCTCTTGAAGGAGCACTTCCAAAGCTGCCAGATCCCCGAGGCCTCTTGGCCTCCCTGTCCTCTCGCTCCTGGCAACGAACTGACTTAATCTTGCGGGCAATGTCAACAACCTCCTCAAAGTAGCACCTGTGTGATGATCCGGCCGGTCGTCTCAAGAATTAATGCCCCGATCCCCTATTAACTGCTTTTCCCAAGTTTATTTCTGCTAATGTGATTTGCCGGGATGTTCGGTTTTGAGTTTCGGGACACTTAATCCCTAAATGAGAGCTTAAGTGTTGGAAAGTTGACCGTAGTCGGAACAATATGAAGACGACCTCGGAATGGAAATTTGATGGTTCTGTTAGCTCCGTTGGGTGATTTTGGGGTTAGAAGCGTGTTCGAATTGTATTTTGGAGGTCCGTAGCTAATTTAGGCTTGAAATGTCGAAAGTTGAATTTTGGAAGTTTCCAATTCGATAATGAAATTTTGATCCAAGGGTCAGAATGTAATTCTAAGAGTTGCAGTAGTTCCGTTATGTCATTTGGGATGTGTGTGCAAATTTTAGGTCATTCGGACGTGTTTTGGTTGGGTTCTTGATCGAAAGAGAAATTCGGAAGATTTTAGAAACTTAGGCTTGAATCCAATGTGTTTTGGTTGTTTTGATGTTGTTTGAAGTGTTTTGAAGATTTGTACAAGTTTGAATAAGGTTTTAGGATATGTTGATGCCTTTGGTTGAGATCCTGGGGGCCTCGGGATGAATTCAGATGGTTAACGGAGGAAATTTTGGAGTTGAAATTGCTGTAACAGTTGTTCTTCTGGTATTTTTGCATCTACGGTTTGGGGACCACAGATGCGGAGCCGCAAAAGCGGCAAAGAGGACTGCAGAAGCGAAATTTGGGATTTCCCCCAGGAACCGTAGATGCGGTGAGATGTCCGCAGAAGCAGAACCGCTCCTGCAGTTAGAGTTCTGCAGATGCGAAAGCTGGGTCCTTAAGTGAAAGTCACAGATGCGACACTTGTTCCGCAGAAGTGAGACCGCAGATGCGTCCTAAGGCCGCAAATGCGGAAAATCACTGGGCGGAACATATAAATAGTTGCCTTCGCGAATTTGAGGGATCCTTTCACCATTTTCATCCGGGTTTGAAGCTTTTAAGAGATATTTTTGAGGAAAACAAAGAGGAGTCACTTGGAGGTAACATCCTTGACTTCATAACTCGTTTTTATGTGATTAAAGACCTAATTAGTGGTGAGAAATTTGGGAAAATGGGTAATTAGGGCTTGAGTTTAAGAGACATTTAAATAAGTATTTGAAGGGTCATTTGGACTCCGATTTTAGTGTTCTTGTTATGTATAAACTCATGAGAGTACGAGGTTTCTGAAAATGTAAATTTCACCTGATTCTTAGAAGTGGGACCGAGGGGCGTTTTGGTCATTTTATATAATTTCGCGTATTAGCTTAGAATTTAGTTGTAGAATCAGTTACTTGAAGGGTTATTTATATTATGCAATTGAATTGAATAGATTTAGGCCATTTGGAGTCGAGTACTCATGGAAAAGACGTGGTGTTGGGTTGATTTTTGAGTCAGTTCGAGGTAAGTGGCTTGTCTAACCTTGCGTGGGGACCTTCCCCTTAGGATTGGTATATGTGGTATTAAAATGCCTTATACATGAGGTGACGAGTATGTACTTGTGCTAATTGTTGGAAATCAGGTTTTCTTAAGTGATTACTAGTATGTTTCCTTTCCTATTTTTATTTCTTACACTATTAAGTCTGTTGTTAGCTTAGGAAAGCATGTCTAAGTGACTTAATTGCTTTAATTGATTCAACCTGTCTGTGCAGCATGCTAGGCTAGAATCACTTATTGCCTTAATATGAACTTTTGCCATTTCTGTATACCTTTCTGCTATTGTTGTGTATTTATTTTGGGACTACAGATGTGGGATTCCGGTAGCTCCCCCTTGTCTATTTACTTTGGGACTAAGGGTTAGATTCCCNATAGGACGGTATCCTAGGAGATCCCCGATTGTTACTATTGGTGCTGAGTTGTATTTCCTTTCCACGTTTACCTTGTTCTGTATAGTTGTTGTTGTTCTGTTCATCCTGTGTTATTTTACTGCTGTACTTATTTATACTATTTCGTTCTATACTGTTGATCTTTATATTTTATTTAACTTTAGTAGGTCCCTGACCTTCCTCGTCACTACCCAATCGAGGTTAGGCTTGGAACTTACTGAGTACCGCTGTGGTGTACTCTTGCCTCTTCTGCGCATGTTTATCATGTGCATATCCAGGTACCGCTGATCAGGTCTACTATCCTTGAGGGAGGCGACCGCTCTAGAGACTTCGAGGTACATCTACCGCATTCGCAGACCGAGAAGTCCCTTTTTATTCCTGCTTTTAGTATTTAGCCCTTATGTACCTTCCTGTTCTTATTAGACATTCTGGAGTTAGAGCTATGTAGTATTGATCTTAGCTTGTGATTCATGGGTTTTAGGGTCTTGGATTTATGTTTGGTATTGAGAGTTAAACATGATGTATGTCGAGCGGCACATTTAAACATTGTTACTGCTTTATTTCTATTTTAAATTGTTTACTTCCGCAAATTAGGCTTACCTAGTCGTAGAGACTAGGTGTTGTCACAATGGTTCATTGAGGGCAAACCGGGGTCGTGACAAGTTGGTATTAGAGCTCTAGATTTATAGGAGTCATGGATCACAAGCCGGTTTATTAGAGTCTCGATGATCGGTACGAAGATGCCCGTACTTATCTATGAGAGGCTATGTAACTGTTAGAAAAATTCCACTTCATTTGATTTTCTTGTCGTGTGATATTTTGACATCATCATTCTAAACTTTTGTCTTCTATTCCCTCACAGATGGTGAGGACACGTGCTACCCGAGATGATCAGGCACTCGCGCCCCCAACTGCAGCCGTCAGAGGCTGGGGCCAGGGTAGAGGCCGAGGACGCGCACGTGGTATAGCCAGAGCACCTGCGCGAGCTACCACCGAGGTACCACCAGTGGATCTAGCCGGAGTCCAGGCACCTGACACGCCCACTGCTACTACCACTCCGGCTCTTCAAGAGACTTTGGCACAGTTTATGAGCATGTACACCACCTTGGCTTAAGCAGGGTTGTTTCCCCTTACTGCAACTACGTCTCAAGCTGGGGGAGGAGCACAGACTCTCACTACCCGCACTCCTGAGTAGCGAGTTCATGTTGAGCAGGTCCTTGAGATTATTCTTGTACCGCCTGTAGTGCCAGTTCAACCCGAGGACAGGGCAGCGACTTCCGAGGATGAGCAGTTGAGGCTTGAGAGATTCAAGAAGTACAAGCCCCCTGTATTTAGTGGTCTAGCATCGGAGGATGCTCTGGGATTTTTTTATGAGTGTTACCGCATTCTTCGTACCATAGGTATTTCAGGATCGAGCGGGGTTTCTTTCACTACCTTTCAACTTCAAGGAGCCGCCTATGAGTGGTGGCGCACCTATGAGCTAGACATTCCAGATGAGGCTGCTTCACTGACTTGGGCTCAGTTTTCAAATTTATTCATGAGGGAGTATGTTCCTCAGAGCCTTAGGGACACATGGCGCGCAGAGTTTGAGCATTTGTGCTAGGGTGCTATGACTATTTCAGAGTATGTACACC